TCGCTCCAGCACCGCGGAGCGTAACATGCGATGAGCTCCTTCCATGTCCTCGGCTTGCGCCAGGTCCTTCCTCGTCAGTCTCGATGCGGCGTGCCATTGCACGTGCCTCAACATGCTCATCATGCTCGGTACCCCAACGAGTAAACCCGCCGTGATGCTTGCATACCCAGTATGTTGTTCACTCTGAGAGACGACTCAGCCCTTCGATTCTAACAGCCTCGCAGCGTCCCGCCCCTTCAGTGCCTCCGCCCGTCGACGCTCGACATGGCATACCCTGCCCCCCCCAACCGCCCTCCTACCACCCCGCCTCCTCCTCGACGACGGACCTTGCGCTCTCCGAACAGCTTCGCGGACTCATGCGCCTCCTCCCGCATTCTGTCGTCGTCTGCACAGCGACGAATCCCGCCGACAACATACCGCGCGCCATGACCATGTCTTCCCTCACCTCATTAACACTACACCCCACGCCCCTCGTCACCTTCAACGTCGCGACACCGAGTCGGACGCTGACCGCCGTCAAGGGCGCGCGGCGCTTCAATATACACGTCCTGCGCGGCGGCACCGACGGCGCGGCCGTCGCAGACTGGTTCACGCAAGGAAACGCCGAGGGCCAGCACGTGTTCTCCGGCCTCGGACGCGAAGGACCCCCCGTCACAGCCGACATGCGAGGCGAGGCACCCATACTCAGGGGCGAAGGCGTGCTCTATATTTTGCGGTGTCGGGTGCTCGACGATGCGCCTGCGCAGGGGCTCGTGAGGGTGAGGGACCACGTCATTGTCGTGGGGGAGGTTGTCGAGATTATCAAGGGGGAGGAGGACGGGGAGGATGAGTTTGGGCTCGTGTACGCTGATCGGCGGTACCGCTGTGTTGGCGATGGGATCGTCAAGGGGGGGAGTGAGTAGCCCTGTTGGGCCCGGGGCGTGTACAGGGGCTCGGTTGTTCGTGGTAGATGGTTGTGAAATCGGCTCATAGAATGTACAACACAATGTATAATGAGGATCGCCTTGACTGGCAGGAGAGGCGCAACAATGATGGTCCCGCTGTCTCTGCAAGGTTTGGCTTTGCGTCAGGTTATTTTTTCCCAAGCTCATGGTGTACCTGTATTCACGTCTAGTCGAATAATTTGTCCTCGTTCAGCGGCTTCTACCGCTCTGCCAGAGACCCTAGCAAGAAACATGTCATAGAACTAACAGGCGAACAATATCAAGGTTATGTGTTTGATCCGGAGTAGAAGAGCGTAGTGCATAAATCGACTTGCAGGTCGGAGGGACGAACAACTTGACTCTCATTCCACGTTCTACTACTTTCGTTTGTGGTCTGTCTGCATGTGGCACACGCGCAACATGCCACCAAAAACATGACCTTGGTCTGAAGTAGTCAATACAGTACACAACAAACTGTCCTCGCTCTACAGCCATAAGCCCAGCATGTGTCACAGCATTCCCCAGCCGCAACGGCATGAACTATCAACGAGTCACGCCCGGGTCAGGTAGCAGTTTTGTCAACTCAAGTCATGGCAGGCAAATGCCCCATCAGCTTGATTGCATCGGTGATTGGGAGACGACGTAGGCATCGATATCCTCTGGCACAGTGTAGATCGCCGTGGCAGATGCTCAACGCGGGGGCCCGCAGTGCTTGGGCCAGTGCCTGGACCAGCGCCTAGACCGCCTGAGAGCCTCACCGACTGGCCATTGTTGCTTGGACCAGATGCCCTGGAATCCGGGGTCCAGGCACTGCCCCTCAGCCTCGTGGAGGTCGGCCCTTGCGATAAGAGGTCTTATCGGACGGTGGAAGTGACATTCTGGAGGCGTCGCGGTGACTCAAGGACGACTGCCAGAGCTACCTGGAATCCACGAGAGCTTCCCAGGCCATGACCCCGCCATGGGTGAATTGATGCTGCTGCAGCCATGGGAAATCCACAATAAAGAACTGCATCGAAGAGCACAAGGCCAGACAAGGCAAGGGATCAGAAGGAGGCAACTACTAGACCGTCTCTTTTTTCGTCCGTGTTCCCACAACGCCCGCACATCTCAGCCAATCACCATGCACCATTCGTTGCCGTGGTGGCAGGGCAAGCGAATCAGAGAAGCGTCTGGAAGGTGGAAGGTGCGAGAAGGATAGAATCGCATAGAATTCTCCAGGCGCCGCAGGGGCTCCTCTAGCTTGGGCTTCAGGTCTTCTTTTTTACGACCGACTGCCGCAGCTGCTTTTCTACTTCTCTCCCCTCCTCTCAACACAAATTTCTAACTCTCCTCCCACATATCACTCTCCATCCCATCGCATCA